TGTTCCTTGGTCAGTTCACTAAGATACATTTATTGGTGGCAACTGTAATAAAATTGTATTGATTGTGGGTTTAATCTGGAACAATTCAAATGAAACATTCAATATGTCCTCCTTTGTCCTCCTTTTTGTCTATGTCCTCCTTTTGGTACCAATGTATCTGGCAACCCTGCACATGACTCACAAGCAACAGGATACTGACAATAATTTATAATTCTGAAACAGAGAAACGGGGACTTTTGCAATATTTCTAGTTCTTTTAACAGTACTAATTCAAATCATGCACAGGGTACAGACTCAAGCTAGAAGTAAGCACCACTGACTTCACTGGAAGGTTCATAGGACTGCATTGTGACCTATTTATTCTGTGATTATTCAACAAATAAGTAGGCATAAACAGGCAGCATGAGTGATAAAGTTCTAGTTAGACCGTCAGAGAACTCATTTGTTATATAGCATTCTCCCACTTGCTTATATGAATGAAAGCACAAGTATTTGTGTGTCAGGGAAAGGGCCCAGAGGGAGGCCATAGCTGTGATACAAGGATATCTGCAAGCAGGATCTGAAGGCCTTAGGGGAATGCACCTCAACAGATGGGAAACGTTGACATTGGAGCGTTCAGCCTGGAGGCAGGTGGTGCAGCATGGCCTCTCCCAATCTGAAGAGAAACTTGTTCAGCAGGCCGATTCCTTATATCACTATGCCTAAGCTATATATATAAACTTTTAAAAAGGATTAATTACAAGAGTAAGTAAACATTCAAATACCTTTATATTTATTCTAATAATCCTTCAAATGCTGATATATTTGAAACCTTTCATATGGAGTTTGAAAGAAGGAAGTGTTTCACTTAAAAATCACTACTTTAAAAAGAGACTCTGAATTTATGATGCTAGATATTACACTGTTCAGCCTGTAGTACCGGAATGCATGTTACACTGACTTGAGTTCTGGTAGTTAATTTTCTCATATTTCCAAGCCTGAAAGAACTTTAAAAATCCACATTGTTTTCTGTTCCATAAAATATCAGAAAATACAACGCACAGAGAATATTACCGTATTTGCCAGTGTACAAGATGCCTTTCCCTCCCTGAAAAACATGCCTCCAAGTGGGGGTGTCATCTCGTACACCGGGTGCATGTCTAGCAAACCCTCCCTCTCTCACATGAAGTCACCTACCTGGTAGTAAGACCCAGTAGAGCCCCGCTCCTAGCCTGGGAACAGCCTGACTCTAGCGCCTAACAGCTGACTGTCGGAACAGCAGAGAGGTGGCAGCCATTTTGAGATGCGACCACATGGCTGCTGCCTCTCCAAAATGGCTGCCACCTCCGAAAAGGAACCAAAAGGGGCAAAAGGAACTCTCCCTATGATGCAGCCAAAGCAGAATCACGCATGCGGAAGAGGGGGTAGTCTTATACAGCAAGTATATAACAAACTCTACATTCTGAGTGGGAATGTTGGGGGGCCGTCTTATACTCCCAGTCGCCTTATACACCGGCAAATACGGTATACACTATCATCAGGAAATTGTTAATGGATCAGCCATATATACAAATGTATAATGAATTACAGATGCTAGTAATCTCACTTATTAAAGCTTACCACAGTGCATGCTCCTTGCTTTGATGTTGCCGGTTCCAAACAAAACTACTGTAGTTTGTACGTTGTAGCCATTTATAATGTTGACTTTTTATTGATCTTCTAGGCAGAACACAAGTAAACAGGCTGATCAAGGTCTATGATGTGTGCAAGTCAGATACAGACCCCCAGATCATTATGTTTCTAAATTCCTTCTATAAGCAAACTACTAAAACTCAGGAGTTCAGGCAAAAAATTTTCAAATATAGCAAAGTAATAAATTAATTTTTTTAAAAATCCACTCTTATGGGAAGCACAGTTAACAGATGGAATATAATTTAAAAATACCAGTAACACAATATTTCATCCACATCATTTGCTTTCATGATTTTCAGACTGTATTTTATTCTATTTTAGTGAAAGTTACTGTGTTGTATAAAGTACACACAAACACAAGGTTTTTCATCGGCAGTGAAGATTTACAAGTGATAAACAATAACACTGATGGGACGGGGAAGAGATTTATTTGGTTTGCATTCTAATTGGAACTAACCATCCTAAATTATAAGAAAAAAGGAGCCAGATTACCCTTGAGATCTTGTACTATGTAGTGTAGTTCATTGATTTAAAAAAGATGTTAACATTAGATGAAATTGTGTACTGTAAAAGATCTATTACAGATAATCTTGTACAAAAATACATATATTATGATTACATCATGTTTGCCAATATGCAAACATATAACAGTGTGAAAAATATTGTTGCTAAGAAAACGCAGACTAATGCTTTTTAAAAAAAAATCAAAATTGATATTGAAGCATGATGCAACAAATGTTCACTTGAAAAAACAGGCATTATAAAAATTGAATGGTTTGTCCATTCCTATAATAGTAATTGTAACAACAGCTTGGCTAGAAGTTGCTATCTTTAAGTGTTCATCAACTAGCACATATTTTTCCTGAATAATATCTGGAGCAGAAGAGATAGCTGAGTGAGATAATAGTCCATAAACAACAGGCAAGTCAAACTCATTTACCCTTGGCCAAGAAAATGTCTCTTGTTCCATTCTGGTAAGATACAAAGCAGCAACACTGTTTTTTAAAAATCCTTACAAATTAAACTATACAAGAATCAGCCCCTACTGCCCCTTCCCTCGCATTCACAAGGGGCTGAGTTTCCAGCACTAACTTGCTTGTCACAGTCAGTCAGGTTGGGGGCCCAGTGGATTTCACTGATCCTCGAAGGTCTAGGCCCAGAGAAGTGGGCAGGAAGTACAGGTCCTCATCTGAGGCACAGTCCTATTAGGGAGGGTTGGTAAAGGCAGGTGATGGGAACAAAGCTTCAATGAGGAGATTTGGGCCTAGCCCACACAACAAATAGTGAGCAGAGTTGGGCCTAGCCCACACAGTGAGGAATGTTGGGATTTGCAGTTCAGGAACATCTGGAGGACCGCACTTTGCCCAGGTCTGCCTTACAGGGAAGAGAGGCGCTGCGAGTTAAACCGCAGAAGCCTCTGTGCTGCAAGGTCAGAAGACCAGCTGTCGTAAGATCGAATCGACCCGACAGAGTGAGCTCCCATCGCTCGTCGCAGCTCCTGCCAACCTAGCAGTTGGAAAGCATGTGAAAATGCGAGTAGATAAATAGGTACCACCTTGGTGGGAAGGTAACAGCATTCGGTGTCTAGTCGTGCTGGCCACGTGACCACGGAAACTGTCTTCGGACAAATGCTACAGCTTGAAAACAGGGATGAGCACCGCCCCCTAGAGTTGGACACAACTGGACTAAATGTCAAGGGGAACCTTTACTTTACCTTATCCCCTTACAGGCTCTATTGGCACTGACACTAACCTCATTTTAATGCCAAGTTAAAACATGGTTAATCACCACAGCCTTCAGTGATCAATTATAGTGTGGTGTTATTTCATCCTTTTTAGTATGTGTATACTTACTGTTTTAGCTTTTTAAATGTCAACTTTTAATGGTATTTTAAATAATTTTTTTAAATAAATAAAATTACGGTTTTAATAGACTGATGGCTCCTCTACTGTTATTGTTTTTAGCAAACGCAGTTTTTAACATTTTAAATCATTTTAAAAGGTTTGCAGTAACGAAAAGTTTCATATTGTTTTTATTGTTGTACTCTGCCCTGAGATCTTAGCATACAGGGTGGAATGTAAATATTTTAAGTGAATACAAAGAAAGCAACAGTACAGGAAGAAGAAAAGGAAAGAGGAAACCCAAGCATCTGAGTCAGAAGGAGGAGGTATTATTGAAATAACAAAGAATGAGCTACATCCAGAAGGAAAGATGTGGAAGAGGAAATAATGCTTTAGGAGAAAACCCGACACTACTTTGCCCATTTGTCATAAAGCAAGGCAAAAAGAGGTAGTACTGCATGTTCACGTAAGAAACACATACAAATGCATTGTGATAGCTCTGCCACGTACTTTTGAAAGTCTGTCCCCTATTAAAAGAGGTCAAGCAGCTATAATGTACTGTGCATTTATAGCAAAAAAAATAATAATAATAACAAAAACAAAAACAAAAACGTGGTGGTACATCTCTGACTGATCCTTAATAACAACAACAAAATGGTCCCCTTCCTACCATACCCAATATGAAGCAGTTGTAACAAAGGGAAGAGAGAATACAGGAAGACTGTATATTGTGAGTGTGTGTGTGTATGGGCTGAACACTGAGTCTGTTACAGAAATTATTTCTGGGATCAGCATGCGTTCAGTGGCAAACTTTGCTCAACTCAAACGGTATTTCGCCCTCAACAACTATTATTTTGCATTTTACTTCGCAAGTGATCTCCAGAGTTCTACTATAAACTAACCAGATTTTATAAGCCTGAAACATGCTATCTCTGATTTTAGAAACATCTTCTCATTTCATCAACAGAAGGAAGAAATACTATTTTGACTGTTCTTTGCCACAACAGATCAGATGAGCACTGATGCACCCACAATGCACACACAAAGAATTATGTATCCTCCATTGTCCTGAGGCATTTGTGATATCTCAAGAGTCTCTTTCTTCTTCTCTGTTTTCATTTTAGTTATGAGGGAAAAATCCCTTGTGACATAAGAAAGGGAAAAGGATGCTACATCTGATGCCATTCTGATCACTTATATTATCCTTCATCATACACACATGCAAGAACTGTTGGTGACCACATGATGGGAAAGGCAGACCAGTAGATACAAACCACTACACCCTTCCAGATGATACTGAAAGAGTCAGCACAGAAAATTAACAACTTACGTTCCAATATAAAGCACATGAAAAAAAAATAATACAACTAGAATTTGCAAAAATATCTATACATCTTATTCAATGACAGCTTAATATTTTCCCCCAGGTCCACACAAGTGTGTGTTAGAGTAAGGGTGACAAAAGGTACTCAAAAAGCTTTTACTTACTTTTTTTGTTTTTAAGGTGCAGTGATTTCAGCATCTAAAATGTAACTTCAGGCATTCTGAAAAGAAATAGGTTAAAATCTCTTTCAGTTATAATTGCTATTTCAGATTTAATTAAAAATTAAACTTTCATAATGTTTCACCATCCAAAGCAATGCATTATCAGTCAAGCATAGCTTTTTTTTTACTTAGAAAAGCTCTTTCCAGAGTAGTTTGTAATGAAGAAAAGGAATAAAGGAGGCAATTCAGAATAGAAAAATACAGCTCTGCATTGAAGAATTCCAAATACCGTGGCAAAGGGGAGGGGGTGGCTTCTGTACCTTTTTATCAACAATCTAACTTTTTAAAAAGAATCACGCATGACAATTAAAAGAGACAGATAAAATTACATACTCGTGATTATGGGAGTTATGTACAATAAAATATATATTAAAAACAATGGACATTTTAGGAAAAAGCTGTAATGAACATGAACTTATACTTCAAAATAGTGTGAGGCAACATAAGTAATCTTCAGGTTTTACAGATTGTCTGCTAACTTCACAGCTAATGTGGATTACAACCACTCCCCCCTTTTAAAAAAAATGCTGTACAGAATTTTCAACTATCAAATTGTTGCACAGAAAATAAAAATAAAATAAGACGCAGGGTAGCTACAATTTTATTCAAGACTGCAAATCTTCTTTCCTGTAAAAATTGCAGAAGAGCTGCAAAACTATAGAGACAGTAACAGCTTGGTTTGGATTTTCTTTTTATCACCATGAAGAAAACCAACTTTAAATATTTTCAAATATGAACAATTAGAATGGTACTGTTAAAGGTTCCATGTGTTTTCAATGCTACAAACACAAAAATAAACCTTATTAGAATAGTAGGAGTCCATGTATTTTTATATGGAGTCTAATTTTCTAAAACAATCAAGCACAATAAGGTTAAAGTACAAAAATTAATCTGCAGGGTTACCTAGTATTAACTAGATTTTAACTCTTATGCAAGAACAGCAAAATGTCGAAGCAGACATATACAAACATTAGAACAAGAAGTTGCCTCTTACACAAGCAGCAATTGGCTTTATAGCCTGACTTTCAGCATTAAAAGCTAGGTGTGTGAAATGATGCTTTTTTACTTAAGAGAACTAGTTGAACACAGAAAAACTCTGTATGGTTCTATCTATAATTACCAAAAACTAGATAGGCAAACCTTAAAGATTAAGGATACATATAGGCTGAAGTTATTTTGTTTTGTTACACATGGGGAAGACAAATGGCATACTATTTAATTGCTTCTGGTTGGCAAGTATCAGTTGCCAAAGGGATTCTTGGGGGAATGTAAAACTGGTTGGCTTTGCATATGCTCGAATATCCCAGTGGGAACTGGGATAGAAGTAACTGAGTGTTATGCCACCATTTGCTTTCCGCATGTGTAATAAAGCAATAGGGTTTCAGCCTACTGTTAATATTAGAACTATTCAGCAACTGTTGATGACAAATAGTTATGTGAAACTACATGACATTTTTGTTAAAACAACTTTACTGGTTACCACTCAATTTTGAAGCACAATTTAAAATGTGAATTATGCTCTACAAAGTCCTACCTCAATTGGAACCCATTTTCTGAAATACTTCATTATGAGCCTGCCCAGGGTTTAATATCCCTTGAAAATATGCTCCCCCCCCCCAGTTCAGTATCATAACACATTTGAACAGAAAACAAGAGAGAACTTTCTTGTTGCCACCTGTCAGGCTCTGGAATTCCATGCTAAAGCAGGCCAGCCTAGTTCTGCAGCAGCCCTTGTTATTTTATTTTATTTTATTTCTTTTATCTGGTTAGTCTTTGGGCTGTTTGCTGAGGCATGTTTTAACCACGGACGTGACAACCACTCACTCTCAGCTATAAGTCTCAACAGGCCAAGATCACCAAATGAGACCTTTGTCCTGGTAAGATTTTCTGGTTTCCTGCAAAAATACCAATCCAATCAATACCAATCCAATCTCATTTTAACTCTTTCTTTTTTTTAATTTTTCACCTGCTGTTCTGCACATGAAACTACCAAATTCTGGAGTATCCTGTGCAGAAAAGCAACATTCTTTGGCAAGAATTATAATCTATACCATTTGACACTGTTCTGGGGGGAAAAAGACCACAAAATATCTGAGAAATCTTTTAAATTTTATTAGAGAAGGGGGAACTCAAACAGAGAAATCTTGCTGCAAGAAGAGTGCTTTTTTTGATTTCCCTCAAAGAGTGAGAAGCACTGAGAATCAAATCCATAGATTTAATCACAAATGTTGCTCTACATTATTAACTTGCCTTTAACTTTATTTACTCTTAAATTGCAATTACAACCTTGTTTTTTATATAATACATTAGTGGCGATAGTAGGAGTCAAAAAGGAGTAAAAAAATTTCCAAACCAGAAAAATGTTTGACTGATTTTCTATTTCTAACCATCATTGTTTCATAAAACTGATTAGTAGCAACAGTGAATGGATATCAATATAATATTTGCAAGATAGGCACTTTCAAACTTGTCTTAGCTGGCAATGTTACTCTTATATTCTTAGGCAAGATTGGAAGTCAGAACCTGCGAGGGTCTTAACACATTAGATCAATTATTAGATCAATTATTATTAGATCAATTATTATTAAAAATTAGGTCTCTTCACTTACAAAAATTATTTTATGCTAGAAGAATAGAAATGTTTCATATAGAATAACAACAATATTAAAATATGCAACTTGTCAAATATGTCATTTCCCATTTCTATTGATGAAGAAGTAAAACTGTTCTCTAAAGTCAACTGTTCTGTTATAAATACAGAGTGAAAACCAAATGGATGACAATCTACGTACAATGTATTATCAGAGGTTAGAATCAAAAGGCTGTGGAATCATAGCAACAGTTAATAAATCAAGCCACTTTGCTGAATTTACTTTCATTTATTTTCTAATCAATAGTATGTTGGAAATCACATGTGGAAATAGTAGAATTACAACAGCCACAAATTGTTTTCTGGAGATTTGTTGTTACTGTTTTTCTGACAAAATGGCTTCAATAGATCTTTAATGAGACACACTCTACACTGTAATTAATAACTAGATAGCTGAATATTAGAGTTATTTAGGTCCAGCAGCGGGGGAAAACCCCATCATAGATCTCATGCCTATGTCAGAAGCCAAGAAAAGTCTGCAGAGTCTATTGACTCTAGAGATAAGATAACACTATTTGCATGTGAAGGAGAAAAGAAGGAAATCTTGAACTGGTCACTTGGCGATAATGCACTACTTTGAGTATTCTGAGAGGAACGAGTGTATACCAGTTGTCTTTATACATTGCTCTATTGTTTAAATTTACCCTAATGAACTGACAGCCACCGTTAGAACATTATATTCCAGTTTTGCCTTGTCAAAAAACTTGGCCATGAGAGTAAATACATCATTATAAATCCCTACATAATGCACCAAGTCTTTCACTGAGTATCATAACACAAAAATAAAACCACACATATGCGTATGCGTCATACCATCTTTTCACAAAGCTAATTTTAAGCTTAATTAATATTAAACTGTATTAATTTCTATACTGCAAAGTTCTGTCCACTGTTGACCACCCTAGACTCCCCATAAAAGATAAAATCTTTGAAGTTCTGAATTGTTTTTGTTTTTGCATAACATTTATTTTCTCATTGAGCCATTTAAAAAATGAAAATTGAGCAGGAAGTACAGTGGGGGCTTGACTTGAGAACTTAATCCGTATTGGAAGGCGGTTCTCAAGTCAAAAAGTCTGTAAGTCAAGTCTCCATTGACCTACAGTGCATTGAAAACCGATTAATCCCGTAACAGGCCGTTTTTGTTCCATTTTGGTTTTTTTCTGGTCTGTAAGTCAATTCTCAGGCTGCAAGTCAAACCTAAATTTTGCGGCCAGAGAAGTCTGTAACTCAAAAAGTCTGTAAGTCAAGCCATCTGTAAGTCAAGGGTCCACTGTAAGCAAAAAGGCCACTATTACCAACTGGGTAAGGGTTCAGATGTTAAAAAATGCAGGCAAATAAAATGAAGATAATAAAAGCCTGGGTCATTTATCACTTATCTGTATCTGTTTGAATGTCTACACTCTACGAACAAATAATAAATAAATGTCACTTTTCCAAAGATATAATTTTACTAAATGCTGTGTAGGAAATCCAGTCAACAACTGACCTGTTCAAATTAATGAATGTTTGGAAGACCTGAACAGGGTGAAATGGCTCTCATGGCTCTTAGTGTGTGGAACTCAGTATTTTTCACAATGCCTCTTGACACTTTCTTCATACACAGAATGATGACGATAATCAAGCTGGCTGCAGAAAACTATAATATTCCAGTATTCCAACTGTTTTCTTGCACAAGCTGTCCCCAGATCCTGTTTATGTTCCCAAAGAACAGGAACAGTTGACAGCATGCCGTTTTTGAAAGGCCTTACTCAAATAATTCTTTTGCTAAAGATATAAATTCTCTGTATGGCAGATCTGAAGCTGACATTCTGAGTTTTAACGTATTTTGCAAGCATTGCTTATACGTATGCTTAATGTGATCTCATCCTATGTGGCTCCCTTATTTCCAAGATTCATAATGCCATCATCTTTGCAACCCCACTATTCATAATGGGCAATACTCTCTCGTATATGAAGTAATCTTCAAGCCATAAAGTAAAAGTGTAAGTCAATATATAGGCTTCATCATAAAATCACCATCCCTTTATATTTGTTGTACTGTGACACAAATAAATGCTTCAATGTGATCAATTTTACATTTCAGTAAGCAAATTGGTAGATAATGATTACTGTATTTAATCTTAGAATTGCAGAATTGGAAGGAACTCTATGGATTACTGAGTCCAGCCCATCAAGTAGGCACAATGGGAGATTGAACTCCTAACCTCTGTCTCCACCTAAACCACTGAGCTATCCAGCACTTGAAGGAAGTGTGCCAGACATACATTATCTTTCACCTTGTCCCAGCCAATAAAGAGTCTGATTGAGAATTATATTAATGTTAGTGACAAAATAATACAGACAAATGTA